ATCCACCAAAATCCACCAAGGCAGTGGCACAAACACAGAGCCCAGCATGGCAAGAGCAGTACAGGAATATTTGCATCTCAGCTTCACCAGCTTAGTGTGAATTAAAATTAAATTGTCCATTAAAAATAAAGAAATTAAAAATGTCAATTAACTGAAGTGTTTAATCCCTTTTCCAAAGCAGGTGGAAGAAACGCAAGCCACAGGAGAAGATAATGCCCTGAAGCAGGTTTTGGCCTGAAGAGTTTCACCCTCAGCTGGACCTGGGCCAGCCCAGGCAGAGCTCACCAACCTCATCCCAAGGCTCTGGGCATGGCTCAAAGCCAGGGTTTAGCTGCTTTTCCTGCAGTTCTCACCTCTGTTCTTCAGCCCCACCAGCAGTGGATTCCAACCCCTTGGCAAAAGGCAGCAGAGACAAAAGGGTGGCTGAGATTCCTCCCAGGAGGGAGCAGCTTCCATGGCTGCAGCTCTGCTGGCCTGGTNAAAAATAATTGGTCAGTTGTGGTCCAGCCACAGCCCCAGGGTGGGACAGCACTGTGACACAACGGGGCCATCCTGTGGCAGGTGACACTCGGGTCACCAAGAGCCCTCCCCTGCCCTGCTGTGGGAAACAGCAAAGGCAGGAAGACTTTCAGCAAGCTGGGAAAGACAGAGCTTAAAAACAGCAGAGAAATTGGAGCTAGAACAGCTGCAAGGTGTGAAAGTGGAAAAGTTACGATGGTACAGCAAGCAGGGACATGAAACAACAGCTTGAGTTTAGGCTTGGCTGAGATAAATCTTAAGAGTGCAGAAAAATAAGCCAAGCAAGAGAGTGGAAGGTTTAAAGCTGAATAATGAAGTGTTGTGTGTTGTGTGTTGTTAACAGAAAGCAGACAAGGTCTGTGTGCAGCAGGTGTAGGTGTGCTTTTAGTGATTACCTAAACAATTATCTGTGGGTTTAGCAATGTGCTAATGGCCAGAAAGGTTTTAAATGCTCTGGAACAAAGAAATCTTTGGCTGCTGCTGGCAGGACATGAGCTTTGCCACCTTGCAATTGTCTGAAGCACTGATGAGGCTGATGCTGCAATAAAGCTCCAGAACAAACCCCAGCAGTCCCGTCCTGATTGTGAAGAATCCCAGCCCACCCTGCCCTTGGGGTTTCCTCATTTCCTCCTTTTTCCTCATGGGATGAAGCAGAGCTGCCATCCCTGTGCCCTCCTGTCCCCAAGGTGACAGGGACACCCCCTGCCAGCTGCCACATCCACAGAAACATCTGGAGGAGAAGGCCAAGCACTGGCTGGGAGCTCAAAAATCCAATTAAATTCCTCTTTCTTTAAAAATAATAAATTAATGTGAGGTAGAAAACACAGATTCCTTGGTGGGGATGGTCTGAAGTAGAACCAGCTCTGAGATGTCAGCGTTCAGCTCTTTGATTTCTGCTCTGCTCTGGTGAACTCTGGGATCTGCTCTGCACTGGGAGCCTCAGCTGCTGCAGGCTTGGCAGGTATTTCACAAGACATTTCATCTTTCTATAGAAACCACAATTGTGCCTGCTGAAACACTCCCCAGCCACCAAAGAAAGAAAACAAAAGAGACATCTTCTTCTTGTTGTGCTCTTTTTTCAGCCTTTAAACTTAAAAAAGCTCCTTTTCTGTAGCTGCTTTTCATAACTATGTGGGTTATGCACTTTTTTTTATTTTAAAGCTGCCATCTCCATGAACTGTTGTGGCTCCCAGGAGTTCAGGCACCTACCTGGAAACCCTAAAGCTGTGAAACATGGAACCAAACTGCAGGATTTCAATAAATGCCAGGGCAGCAGGTGACCAGAGCTACTCCAGTGCAGCCGGAACTGGAGTCCAGTTTAATGCTGGTGCTCTCCTGATTCAGGGCTTTTAGTTCCTTTCCTGCCTTGCCATTTATCTCTTCCTTCTCCCTGCCCTCCTCTGAGCCTTTTCTGGCTCTCTGGAGGCTGGGGATGCCTGAGGCTTTCATTGCAGGGACAGGGGACTGCAGGATTTATCACTAAAGGGAGCAGGGGGCTGATCTGCCTCCTGTCCCTGATTGCAGGGCAGAAAAGTGACACCAAGTGGGACAAATGGGCTCCAGCAGCTCCTCTCCATCCAGGGTGGGAAAGGAGCAAAGGGCAGTGTGATGGTGGTCACAGGGGTTT